TATGTATATTGGTAAAAATATTTGAGATGAGTGAGATGTATATCTGTACGTCACATCACTATTTCCATGAATGTCCATTTTCAGTTACAAGATGCAATTCAGTAATTTATCATGAGTACTTGTACTTATACTGACTCACAGAGGAGAAATCTGAGACAAGAGATTGCACACTCAATCACAAGTATTTCCTGAGCACCAGCTACGGACCAGACCCCGCCGTTGTGTGAGGCATCAGCAGTTCTCAAGCTGTTAGGAGGAGACATTGAATAAACAAAATGGATCTTTGCACCAGATCCAGCTAATTCTACCATGTCTCTGCTCTACTTGCTATAAGATATCAGGCAAAATAACTGCCTGTTTGAGTCAGTGTCTTTGCACCTATAAAATGAACATCATAATATCATTGCAACATTCTTGTTGAAAGGAAAATGCATAAAAATAGGAAGAACAAGAACCTGACCAAAAACAGAAAGGCAGACAATAGTGGAATATTTCTAGTAGCTTTTTTGATTTTGATTTTGATTTTGTAGTTCACACCACAGCAGGCCTATATCAGACACGCAATGTATTGTCAGATATAATTGAACATCAATTTTGCTCCAGTCATTCTCACTTAATAAATTAACAGATATATTTTGTAGTCATTTTTTTCTGACAGAGCTTGCTTCTGATACCTGCCATTCTAGAAAAAGGTTACACCATTATTGTGTACATCAATTGGATGAATCAGGTGGTCCCCCAAAAGAATCAAAAGCATGATTTTTACCACATTGTATAATTTGTTCCATCCTCTGAATACTACACTATAAAGTTCTTTTGAGTTCTGGATCTCTTAGGAAAGTGCTGAGCAAGTTCCATACGATGGAAATATAACCACATGTAAGAACTAAGTTCTATATAAAATACAGATGCACTTGCTTAAAGTGTCCCACTGTTCTTTCAGTGTTGAAAGAAACTGCAAATGTTAATTTCTAAAGGATGTGGCAGGGAATTTTGATCAAATTATTATTCTTCATACATAACAGTATCTTTAAGCATTTTCTATAAATATGAACTTGTAGTGGAGAAAAAAAACACTTACAGTTAATCAAAAAGAAAAATGTCCTTTAGGGTTTTTTTTACTAGCATTTGAATAGAATTCAGAATTGGAAAAATTGCACATCTTTTCTTATGCTGCAAAAACTTGGCTAAAATAAACTATGACTAGAGATTAAGCACCAGAGCAAAAAAGAAGGAAGGAAGAAGGAATTAAATGTTATTTATAAAATGTTTGGTTTTGGGTTTTTTGGATTTTTTTTTTTTTTTTTTTTTTTTTTGCTGTTTTATGCATTGGTTGTATTGTTCTGGGAAGGATCAAAAAGTGAAAGAGTAAGATGGCAGATTTTATTAATTTTTTTTTCTATTTGAGTATATCTTATTCATTGATATTCAACTGCTGATTTTAATTAGGGATATTTAGCTTATAAAACATATGTGCATGCTGGTATTTAGAGCATTTCAAAAATGATTCTGTGAATCACTACATTACATGAACAGGATTTGGATTCTCTAGAATTGCCATTTGATGTTTATCTATGTATGTTTTGGTTTAGCCATTATATATGTTTTAGTTTAACCACTGAGATGCAATCTTTAGATAGGATATGGTAGCTTTCTTAGAATAACAAACCACACCATATAACTAAGTTAGGACAGGATGAATTCAAAGTGTTTGGATGAGCTGGGGAAAATGATAAATGATGTATTATGATTTTTAAATCCTCATCTGGCCAACTTTGCACTTTATTTCAAACAGCTGTAGACCATTTGGAAGCCATTTTGTAGCTCAACGGAGGACTAATATTTACTGTATGAATCACATATCTCTAAAATATTTGTCTTTCCCTGAGAGAAAGAAAGACTCTTTTTTCCACCAACCTAACTTTGATATAAATCAGACCCATTCTCCTAGGTTAGAAGGTTTGATCATTGCAGTGGATTATTCTTTGCCAAATGCAGTCAGCAGCATCTTAAGTTTCTGCAAGTATGAGACTTTCTCCCTCCATGAATTGAGACTTGGAAATGTTTTCAGCAACTTTGTTACTGATGACTTTTAAATATCTGTACTAAAATAGGTATTTCCCACATTTCACCAGTACTCTTACATATTTTTATCACTCTCGTAAATTTGAGAGACATTTCCTTTCCTCGGATATTTCCTTCAAATGCAGAATTAAAAAGAATCCTTGTGCATTTTTAGAAGGTCACATCAGAAAGGCACAAAAGGTATATAATATTGGAGCCAGTGGCTAGTTTTCAAAGATGGAATTCTAAATTACTGTTGGGAAAACCACCTCATATTTTAATTCCACTCTCGACTACCCCCCTTTCAAAATGATCACAGGAATATACTTCCTGAAATTACCACCTTTTGAATCTTCCCTCTGAACACCTGCAGCTATTCAGGAAAGAGCGAATCCATCAATCCATGTAATGTGATGTGATGAGTTTACTCTTTTCTAAAGTGGTGTTTAGGTACTTGTACAACAATCATCATAGCTGATCATCAATAGCCAATAGGGAGCCATTTGTAGGAAACAGGGTGCTCTGAATGCGAGTCAGGTATTCCATAACGACTTCGATCCCCAAGTGAAGCCAGGGAGCACGTATTCAACCTGAAACACATTGAATTAGCCACCTTTCCCAGGTGGTTGTTAATCAACAAATTTCAGGAAAGTTAACACTTTGTGGGTTAACTGCTGGGAGCCCAGCAAATGGATAGCATGGTAGCAACATCATTGCTGTTTCATTCGAATGCAAATGCAAAAAAAGATGATGCTACAGTGAGGACTCTGTCCATCTGTTTTATCTGCCACTACTTAGAAAATGATGCATTGAGAATGCTTTGGATCAAAGTGTTTATATTTGCCTTTGGAAGCTAAACAGACCCTCATTAGTTGACTGGGAGTCAGATTGAGTAGTGTATTGGTAAAAACATGATAGAAATAAATGCTTCACATATACAAATTTGTTCAAAGATGTATTTACTAAATACATACTTCAAAGTCTGAAATAAGATATTTGCGTGGGAGAAAAACCCTCTTGGAACATTTTTAAGGTATTAAAAATAAATGCAAACATGGTCACTGAGTTCATTAATTATGAATTATATTTTGGAGACGAGGTTGAAGGAAAAACTCTAAATAGAGATCTGTCTCTGAAGACAAAAATCAATCAATGAGAATCAGGAGAGCTCTGTGTTTCCAATTATGGCCACACTGCGGCGGCGTGTGGTATCTGTGGATGATGGTACTCAAAGGCATTTGTTGTACTGAGAATTTGACCTCCAATAATACAAATATTGTCAGTAAATTTAGAATACTCTTGTATTTGAATAAAAGGATTTACTTTTTACTGAAAATGTTTTTTTAAGTTTCTTTAGTTTCATATTAAGTAAAGATGACACAATGAACATGTGACAATATTGTACATGTAAATCTAAATTTCCTTATTAGTATAATTGTCTTTTATATTACCAAAATTCCAAATACAAAAGTCTAGCTGTAAACTTCCCTAAAGGAGGAGAACAAATTTTTATAGGGTCCTACATAACTCTGTTGACAAGGTTAGTCATTTGTTTACCTTAAGTAGAATTTTGTGCTTTAATTAAGATAGTCATGAGTAAATATTATTTCTCATATTTAGAATTTCACATTAAGAGACTGAACTCAATAAACCACCTTTGGGGTTAAAAGCCATAAATTAGCCTATGATACTGAATTTGGCAGATATTTGGTATTTAGACATAATTTGTGCTTAACTACCCTGATTCTAAAGTCACTTTTCAATTTTGATCTATGCCTTTTTTGATCTCAGCATCACAGAATACTAGCCAAGCCTCATTTTCTGCTGTAAAATCCAAGATGTGGGAAATTTATATTAGTTGTATCAATGAAAATACATTTCCATTACACAGTAAATGGAGAAAAATATTTTGTTCTTTAGGGCCAATTTCAAAAGATTGCCAAAAACAGACTCTAAAGCCTTGAAAGAATCAACGTAATGGTAGCAGACAACCATGTGTGTTCACTTTGCTAATCTTTCATTTTCAACTCTTAACAACTCCTTTCTGTTTAACTTAGCAATATGACCTTTAGCATACCAGCAAGTCAGGTTTCAATACTTTGCTCAATTCAGGATAATTTTACTTTTATTTTCAAGATGATTCCCTCTCAAAAATGAAAAGCTTCTGTAAACTAAAATTCACTTCAGTACATTTTCAACTTTTCACAATGAGGTTTCTACAGACCCATGTCATCCAGTGTTACCATTGGAAAGGGCACAAGCAGAGGCTGCACAGCAGGATGGCCATGCAGCCCTCAGCCACTTGGGGCCTCCTCTCCTCTCCCCAATATATCTTTGACTGTGTGTATTCCAATTCCAGAGTCTTTGAAATTAGAACTTCAAGGCTTCATGTTTTTAAATAGTGATGAGCCTGCAGGTCCATAACTGTTCCTTTGATTTACTTATTGAGCATAGTTGTTCATTTTTGAATTCTTTGTTTTTATATTTTGTATGGAATATATATCTATCAGGACTTGAATGTACTGTAGAATTATCATTGTATAATTATGTATCATTGTATCATTGTATCATTGTATAATTATGAATGGCTTCTTATGTGGCTCCCCTGGGAACCTTCATCAATAGTATATTTCTGAGTCAACTACCTTTACTCTCAAAGTAAACTTTGAGATAAATCCTTTCATATGCTGTATGGAAAGTGGAAAAACTTACTCTTATTAATCTTCTTATCTAGTCCATTGCCATATTTCTTAAAAATATTTTTCAGTAGAGAATAAAATCTTTGGGGAGATTTATATTATTATAATTGTGCATGTGTACGTGCACCCTCATGCGTTCCTTGTGTGTGTGCAATTGTTATTCTGCATTGTGCTTCTCTGGAAACAAAAGCAGATGCATTTCCTAATTTAAGACTCTTTTTTTTGTTGTTGTTACAGGTCTATAAAAAGAAAACCGAGGCTGCAAAGAAAGAGTACCTGAAGCAACTAGCAGCATACAGAGCCAGCCTTGTATCCAAGGTAACATGCAATTGTGTGGTATTGTGACGGATTGTGGTCATCTCGCTGCAGAATATGACGGTCATTTAAAAGCATAAAAGATCATTTAAGCATTTCATCACAATCTTCTTTGATGAAAAAGAAAACATAAATCTTAAATAAACCTATGCATTATGGAAATATATGTTTAGACCTAAAAGCATCCCCTGGAGCTTTTGTGAAATGTTGTCCACCTGTGGATTATAGGTTTGGGGATTAGTCACAGCATATTGTTAGTCCTGAGCCAAACTTCTCATTCTCCATATCCCACTCTTAAATTGCCTCCCCCCCATGCACCTGGTCCCTTTGGCCTTCACTGGGGAAATGTCAACTGTCTTTATTCTAACCTCATTACCACATTTTAGGATGTAAGCCTGCCCCTCTCCCTGATTGCACCATTTCATTTGAAAATAAAAGCATCATTTGAAAGTAGTTTATGCTTTAGAATACCTTAAACACTAGTTCTTTCTCTTATAAATACCCAGGAGTTGACTCTTTGGTCTCAGGTTATTAAGAGGTATTTTCCTTTTATAGATTTTTTAGGGAGGCAGTCTCAGAGAGACTGGGGTGAATTTTTAAGTACTTGTCAAAAGTCCAAATTTAACTAGTACTGGGCTCACTTTGGCTTGGGTCTCCGAACATTATTCCATTTACCCATGAAAAATACTTTCTCCTTTATCCATAATACTTTCTTCTTATAACAACTCTAAACTATACATTTTTTTTTAATTAGGAAAAATATATTCTGCAGGTGTGGGAGAAGGGAGTAGGATCAAAACAGGGGTGGGAAGAGCACAGGGGACCTATGGTGATGGTACACGGGTGAATTGGTGGTAGGAATTTCATGGGGACTATAATTGAGATGAGGAAGCATACATTGTGAAAAAATGAAGAACAGTATAAAAAATGTATTAAAAAAGAAAGAAAAATAATAAATCTAAGTAGAGTTAAAGTAATTATATAGGGCCTCCCCGGTGGTGCAGCGGTTGAGCGCTGGGTTGCGAAGCTGCACGCAGCCTCTGCAGAGCCGGTTCGATCCCCAGCTGCTCCCCGGCCACCGAAGGAGGGTCCCGCATGGCGCGCAGACCTCTCCTGCCGCCCGCTGCTCCCCTCAGCAGTGTACTTCGGTCCTTCTGCCTGCTCTGCTCCCTGCTCTGGCTCTGGTGAAGTCTCTCACCTTCCTGCGCTTCTGACTATACCCAGTGCTTGTATAAATAAATAAAAATAAATCTTAAAAAAAAGTAATTATATAAATTTATGTAATAAAATACTTTCTAAATAATCAGAAAAAGAAGAAAAATATGATGAATATACTCAGGCAAAAAAGAAAGCATAAAATACAAATGTATAAGAAATTTTGGTACACTATCAGTCTAATCCAACTTTATGTTCCACTTTTAATGCCTGGCATTGTGGGAAAATTATTATTATTTAATCTTAAAATTTTTAACTCTTCTATATTTTCTCACTATGGATCTCACCTCTTCTGATTTAACCAGCTCCCTCTGAAGCTATTTATATTTTTGCTGATACCATTTCACATTTTTGTCTTTTTATAGAACCCACAGAATGTGTATAAAATTAAAACCAAAAAAGGTACATAATATTAAATCCATCATTAGGTTAAATAGTGAGTTGGTATATTCAAAACAATATGTCCAGCATGTAAGAGGGACTTTTAAATTTTTCTTTCCTTATTTCACCCAGGATAAATTTTTTGAGCATTTTAAATAGAGTTTTAGTCCGAGGATTCTGCATAGGAGAAAATCAACATGTAAGTCTCAATCCCAACACAAAGCACGCAGGTTAGTGTTATGCAGACTACTAGGGATCTGCATTACTGACTAAGCCTTTGCTTTCCTAACAGTGTCCTCAGATTTGCTCTTAGCTGCAACTTTTCTTACTATTCATTCTCAGATTTGCAACCCTCAATATATGACAATTTGTCTAAATGCTGTGAATTGCCATTTCTACATTTAAAAAACACCAAGCACTTTTTTATAGCTCATTCTGATGTTTTTCTTCTCTTTGGCAATGGGAACTTTGCTGGAGCTGTTGAATGTCTATTTATGTATAGCAATCTAATGTATGTGTACAAATTGAAGGAAAGTTACAAACACCCTCTCCAAGTTAGAGAAATTGCCCTCTGGTATCATGTGTAAGACCTCCCCACCATGTAAAGAAAATTCGCAGGCCTACCTCCCATGGGACATAAAGCATGTAAAAATCCATGTTTCTCCATTTTAAATTATGACAAGGCAAATAATAGTCATCCATACTTATACACATATTTTTCTATATTTTTGTATGTTTTAAATTATTTCCCTATTCTGAAGAATCTAAAGTTGCTGCCATGAAATCCTTACAGGATAATAGTTACAACTGCAGGAAATCCCAGTCGGCCAGCCAAGCTCTCTTTTTCGCCAGTCATTCATTCATGTATTCATTTGGCAAATTTCCCGGGGTACGTGGTCTGTGCCCAGCAATGTGCCAGGCTCAGAGGACACGGTGGAGGAAGGGTAGATGCGCCCCCTGCACTTACAGAGCTTTCCCGTTAGTCCAGGAAGACAGGCAGTGAGAATGTCAAATAGTAAGTGGCCAAGACCCTTGAGAATCTAATAAGCAAAGGCGCTAACAGGGTGGTCTGCAAACTTCTCTTTGAAGACGTGACATGAGAGCTGAGAACCCACAGGAAACAAGGAGCTTGCAGGGCACAGAGCAACCCGAGGGCAGGGCTAGGGAGGAGGGGTGGGGTGGAGGGGCAAGTGGGTGTGCCTGCAGTGGGGGGCTGGGGGTAGGGTGGGGTTGTGGTTTGAGATAAAACTGGAAAGACAGGCAAGAGCAGGGTATTGAAAGGGGTGGGTTTTGTTCTCAAGGAAACCACTGTATGGGTTTCAGTAGGGGACGGCACGTTTGAGATTTTTAACAGCGCTTTAAGTGAATGAGTTCTCTTAATCTCATACCTTGTCCCTCAAAGGAGGCTTGATTATCAACATTTCACTAAAAGAGAAAAAGTTTCACACAGGTAGCTAGTGCCAGAGCCACCCTCAGCCTTTGTACTGCTCGGGGCTCCTAACTGCAGGCTTCACCTGCTTCCTTAAATAGCCCTGGTGCAGCAGTCACCACGAGCACTGACATTCTCATCTGAGGTCATTTTTGTTCATGAAAAATTGTATTAGCCAAAGACCATGTCCAGTTTCCTAAGTTATTGCCAAGCAACTTTGATTTACTCTACCAGCCCTACATATTTTGGAATCTATTTTCTAGGCAACATGCAAATTTCACTGACTAAAGCTTTGCAACTCTAGACCAATAGATCTCCTCGCTAATTTAAGGCTGTGTGGTGTCTTCCACTGCAGGACATGCTCTAAATCCTGCTCAGAGTGCAGGACACCTGTTCCTTGTCAGCGACAGGGCTGGCTGCTAAGCGCACAACATGACTATGACAGATCAAAGTAAAATGTCTATGATACTTGAAAGGTTTGAAGCTATAGTCTAAAATTAGCTGCTTCTTACACAACATAATTAAAAATAGAAACAGCTGGTGAGCAGTGGCACCACCAAGAAACTGCCGTTGGATGAACAGTGCCCTCCTTCCAATGACCGCTCTTTAGTTTAAAGGTACCACCAACCATTCAAACCAGCATATTAGTTACCATAAATTCAGAGCTGAATAAAGTTAAAATCTAGCAAAAATAAAAAAGCCCTGCCCTAGTAAATGATATTGTAATCTTTATATTCAAAATGACTTAGTGATACCTTCTCAGTGGGACACTGAAATTTTCTCATAGTCACACAAGTGTCAGTAGCGTCTTGCTATCAAACAGCTTCTGTTCTGTTCGTGCCACATGCTGTGCCAGGCATTTTATGTCTTCCTGTTCATCATCACAACAACCCTACAAAGTAAGATTTTGCCCATTTTCTAGACAAAAAACTAAATTTCTGCCCCAGAAGGAGAGCTTGCTAGTGGCAGCACAAGGGCTCAAACCCCCTGCTGTCTTATTCCAAAGCTCATAGGCTTTTCTCTACTCTGGGCAATTGTCAAATCTTTATATTTTTAGATCCATGACCTCTTGTTAGCCCCAGTAAAATTTAATGCCAACTCTTATGGTATTGCTTATTAGACATCTAAGAGTAAAGCTACTCTGTCTTAAATGAGGCTTAAGGCAACAAGACTTCTCAGTTTCATCCATCCCAACCTGAGACCCTCGGAGATATCCGGGGCCCTCAGAATGTTTGGGCAGCACCACTCTGCACTGTGCAATCCCAGCTATGCAGGTGCTTCACCTGGTTCAGGGATCAGGTGACATGGTTAGACCTGCTCTGTGGCAACTCACACAGCTCAGGACACTCTGCTCTGCAACCTCACTGGAATTAAAGGACACATGAATAGGAGCGTGGAGTGTTGCAAACACAGCACTGGTTGGCCCCAGGATTTTCTTATTCACTTGCAGATGCTGTAATTTAAAGGAAGTTGGAGACATTTCAGAGGAGAAGTTCATAAAAGTGACTGGAAGGTGCAGGACAGAAGGTAGTAGCAGTGAAGAGAGATTCAACATTATTAAGCCTGGGAAACAAACACTCAGCAGGTTCAAGACCAAAAAGGGCATTAGCCCAGGCTCAAGACTATAAAGGGCAGTGATTATTTGCACTCCATTTTCTCTGACTATAGAACAAGAGACACCATTTCAAACTAGAGGAATTTAATGAACAGTGGGCATAGTAATCTCTTGAGTATTTGAGTAAACAATTTCTTTCCATGGAAAAATTTAAAAGCAGAAAGCAAAGGCTTATAAATAAGGATTGCAAAAGGTCTCGAAAGCATCTTCGAGCTTCATGCTTCCTTAGGGCACCACCAGTGCCACACTGAGCATCCTCATAGGGCAGAAATATCCACAGACCCAGGGAAAGGAGGTTCTGGGTTCAAATTCCAGGTTTCCCTTTTCCTGACTGTGTGTCTTCACCCAAGTTATTTGACTTTC